AGGAACCCCCAGAATAGTATAGGTATGTATAATAAGGAACCCCAAAATAGTATAGGTAACTAGTAAGGCCTGTAGAGTACTGTCGGGCTCCCTCGTTTCTGAAATTCACGTTTGAGGTTTAAGAGTATTTGTCAGCGACGGATCCTACCTGCTGAGGTTCAAGGAGACTTTCGAGTAAAGCTTTAAGTAGGTATCTACAAGTTATGATCGCATGTAGCCCCTAATTATACCCTAAACCCTAAACCCTAAACCCTAAACCCTAATTAATTATACAGACTGGCTATTCAGCCCCACTGCTCCAAAGCTGGTCGTGTCAACCCCTAAACCCCTTAGCCGCCGAAGAGGTCTGAAAATCTAGGGCTTCGCGCTCAAAGGGTTTAGGAACACCTACATACTCTTTTCGACACAACCCTACACCGTCAACCCCAGCAGCCTCAAAAGACAAAACCTTCAAGCCCCCCAAACGAAACACTTAAAACCCTGATACCCGAATCCCTAAACCCGCAACCCCAATACCGTAATTCCCCCCCCCCCCCTCAAAAAAATCAACACAGTCGCGGCTCCCACCTGGAGCGCTCCTCTCTCTCCATTTGCTGCTCCGCCACGATGCTCTGAAACTTCCCGGCCTCGGAAACTGTCGGGGTTTAGGGTTTAGGGTTGGTTTCGGAGGATCGGAGGTTCTGGGTTTCTGAAGGCTTAGAGGGAGGAGGAGAGTTGAGGGGTCAGCTTCGATGGTTCAGGTTATCGCTCTTGCGGCTGCCGCTGCTGCTGGCAGCATCTGTGCTGGTGGTCTTGGTGGCGTTTTTTTGTTTTGTCATGTTTACGGGTACAGGGGTGGTGGGCTTGCCGGCAGTGCACTACGATGGAGCTGCTACTGGCGCCCAAAACACCGTGGGAATCAGCCCCTAACCCTAAACCCTAAATCCTTAACCCAAAGCCCTAGACCCTAAACCCTAAACCCTAAACCCTAAACCCTCAAGAAGGACATAAATAGAAGACCCTAAACCGTTTAAGTTCCATCGCCACCCACAGCGTTAGTAATACAGTCGCATCACCCTTTGAAGTCCAGCAGTCGGAAGGCGCGCCACCTCCACCCCACAGCTACCCGACCGTCGCTAGGCTCTCAAAAATCTGGGTTTAGGGTTTAGGGTTTAGGGTTTAGGATTTAGGGTTTAGGGTTTAGGGCACATCCCCACCCAGAAACTCCAAGAGTACCCAGGAGAGGGTAGCTGTGTTGGAAGATGCCCTATGAATCGTTGCGTTCCTTACCAGTGTTACTCCTGGGATGCTGGAGTCTCTGGGCATGGACTGTTTAGGGTTTTGAGTTTAGGGCCTACATACGCAGAATCTTGAACGTTGCTACTACTGCTACGCAAAGAGAACCACCCAGTCACTCCCTCCTCAACACGACTACGCCTTGCACCAAAGAAGCGAGTCCCCTACTGCAAATACATTCGGAAGCTCCCGGAATGATATTTCATGCCCCCAACCCCCATACCCCAAACCGTGAATCAGACTGCGAATGGGACCGCAGGGGGGGAATATTGAAACGTCGAGCTATATGGGGACTGCAAGGCATTGTCTCTCTGGTATAGTACACAACCCGAAACCCTATACCCGAAACCCTATAAACCCTATAAACCCTATAAACCCTATAAACCCTATAAACCCTATGAACCCTATGAACCCTATAAACCCTATAAACCCTATAAGCCCTATAAACCCTAAACCGTGCAAATCATGGGGCAGGCACCACGCTCCGAGCTTCTTCCTCTCTCGCGACCTGGTCCCCGCACCCAGGAAACCTCCCCTGAAGCGCAGACCCCTAAACCCTGAGCTTCAAGCCCCTGAAGCCTAAGCCCTCAGCCTAAACCATAAACGCTATAAGCCCTAAGCCCTAAATCCTAAAACCTAAACCCCTAAATCCCCAAAGCCAAAGCCCTGAACCACCCAGACTCAAGGGTCCGTTCTCTCCATTACGATCCCTCTATCCACTGGGCTCGATATCCCTTCAAGGAGGGTCCCTGAAGAAACCCCCAGTTTAGGGTTTAGGGTTTAAGACCCGCTTCGGGGCAATGAAGCGAGACAGCTGGAAGCAGAGGCCCTCAACCCTGAACCCTAAACCCAAAACCTTAAACCCTAAACCCAGAAAACCCTAAACCCCTCAACCCCAAACCCCAAACCGAGAAACCCTCTGCCCTTCGGCCTTCTCCGCCTGCAGACTCTTCTGCAGCGGAGCTGTGGCCTTCGATCAGGGCCGCAGGACCGCAGGCTACCAGGGTGAACTCTGGGCAGCTAAAATTTAAAACCCTAAACCCCTAAACCCATAAAACTAAATCCTAGGGTTTAGGGTTTAGGGTTTAGGGTTTAAAGTTTAGGGACCCAAAACCCTAAACCCCAAACACCTAAACCCCTAAAACCCCCGAAACAAAATCCTAAACCTCTAAACCCGAAACCCTAAACCCTAAAACCCCTAAACCCCTAAAACTTCACAACCCTAAACCCCTGAACCCCTAACCCCTACAACCCCTAAAACCCCTAAAACTTCACACCCCAAGCTCAGGTCATCAGACGATCGAGCCTGCATCAAAGCCTCCTCTTGAGCCTTGAAGTCGCGGTAGAGGGTGTTCTCCAGGGATGTCACCTGGCTTCACTCGAAAGGCTAAGGGGGGTTTAGGGTTTTGGGGGGTTTTTGGTTTAGGGTTTAGGTTTTAGGGTTTAAGGTTTAGGGTTTAGGGTTTAGAGTTTAAGGTTTGGGGTTTAGGGTTTAGGGTTTAGGGTTTAGGGTTTAGGTCTTTACAAGTGAGCTTCGGGTTCAGGGCTTTGGGTTCAGCCCAAACTGGCCCTTAATTAAGGGGTAATGTAGGGGCCTTAATGAGCAGAATAGGGTTTTGGGGCCCATTATACTATAACTATAGTAAGGAGCTCCAAAAATAGTGTAGGTAATTATTAGGGCCCCTACATTATCTAGGTTCCCCAGTAGCCCCGTAACAATAAGGGTACCCCTTTTCCTACTATTTGGCTTTTTAATAAGGGAGCCCAAAAAAAAAGTGCAAAAGGGTACTACTGGGGAACCCAGTTATTGGGTTCTCTGGGAACCCTGAGAACCTGAAAGCCTTACAAAGAGCCCTGAGCCCGCCGCCTGCACGGAGACGGCTTGCTCCAACTTGGCCAAAGACTCCTCCCGGAGCACCTTTTGAGTTTAGGGTATTAGGGGTTTAGGAGGTTTGGGGTTGAGGGGTTTCGGGTTTAGTTTAAGGTTTAGGGGTTGAGGGGTTTAGGGGTTTTGGGGTTTTGGGGTTTTGGTGTTTTGGGGTTTTAGGCTTTAGGGTGTTTCATCCCTAAACCCGAAACCAGCGCTGTTTGGGGGTTGGGGGTTAGGGTGTGAGGGGTTCTTTTTACAGGGCTCGTTTCAACGGGTTCCTTTGGGTGTTGCTAGGGCTTTAGGGCTTTTTGCACAATCCTATTTTAACATCACTTAGGATGTTTTAAAGCTTTAGCATGGTGCCCACACCGTTTGGGCACTGCTCCCATGTATCGTTCTTCTCAAATCTTGAGAAAATCTGCTCATAAAGTTATAAAGCTTGAGGAGCATCCTCTGGTGCCCCGATGGCCGAAACTCTCCCGTGCGATGTTTCCGTTGCGCTGTGCTCTTCTTCTCCAGGCGCGAAGGACCCGGCAGTGCTTGAAGGCCCCCATCTCTGTTAAGTCTGAAACCCTAAACCCTTAAACCCTAAACCCCTAAACCCTGAACCCTAAACCCTTAAACCCTAAACCCCTAAACCCCTAAACCCCTAAACCCCTAAACCCTAAACAGCGCACCCAGGAGCTAGAACCACAACCCCCTCTCCCAAAAAGCTCGGCCTTTCGGGATTCGGATTTGGGTTTTGGGTTCCCGGGGGCCCCCCGGGTTCGAAATAGCCCTAGACCCCTATTCTTTGGGGCCTAGTGGACTTCATATGTAAGGTTTAGGGTCTAGGGTCTAGGGTGTAGGGTCTAGGGTTTAGGGTTTAAGGCTTACTGCAGGAAAGAAATAGTTTCTATGATATGGGAACTTCAGATGACAAAAAAGGTACCCGATTAGTCAGCCCCAGAATCCAAGATCCCTATTCGGAGGAAGCCGCAATAAGCCAAACTCTGGTACCCCTACGCCCCAGCCTCAACCCTCAAAAGACCACATGAAGTAAGAGATTTCATCCCTGAATGCTGATGCCAAACCCTACTTCATGGACGAAAACTTACGGTTTAGGGTTCCTGGTTTGGGGGCGCTTGGGGAAGGATCACCCGTTGTAGGATTCAGGACATAAAAACGAACATGCGACATAGTAGTAGCCTTATTGTAAGGGCTTCCCTAACTTCGGTAACCCTAATGTTAAGAAACCCCGCGCTCAAACAACAACTAAGCCGAAAACCCTAAACCCTAAACACTAAACCCCAAACCCTCCCAAATTGTCTTCCCTGGCCTTCTCCTCCTGCAGTCTCGCCTGCCGTTGTGTCTAAGTCTCGATGCTGGCAGGGAGGGCTTTGGGTTTTGAGTTTAGGGTTTCGGGCTTAAGGGGCTTGGGTTTCGGGTTTAGGGTTTCGCGCTCTAAGGGTTTAGGCATCAAGTGTCAGGATTTGGGATGGGTTCTTCACATCAGGGTTCTACTAGCCAAAACCCCATTTCGAAACAGTCAAGCACAGACCCTACTGCAGGGGCACTAACAGCTAGAATAGGATTTGGGCGTACATTCTAGTATCACTATAAGAAGGAACCCTAAGGAATAAAAATTGTAACTAGTCAGCCCTCTATCTTGAACCGAGAAGCTCTGAACACCCCAACACTAAACCCTAAACCCTGAACCCAACAACACTAAATGCATGAAACGGAATAAGAAAACCTCCCACACCAACGAAACTAAGCAGAGGGCTCGAGAGCGTAACTTTATAGGGTTTAGGGTTTAGGGTTTAGGGTTCAGGGTTCAGGGTTTAGGGTCTCTGATTCAGATCTATGGTGTTAGTATGTGTAGAGATTGTGCCGATAGGGCTTTGTCTGGGCTGTCGTTGCAGGGCGCTGAAAAATCTGCCGGACCAGAAGGGAGACCGGAAAGTTTCAGCTGCTTTTGGTGGAGATTCGCGCGTTTCACAGAATAAGGGACCAGGGGTCCTAAGATAGAACTCCGATGATATAGGATCCTGACTCCCTAAACCCTAAATCCTAAACCGTGAATGAGGGGATCCCTGAACTAGTTTAAGAAAGTCCCCTTTTGGGGTTTGAACCTTGAGCATCTTGACTCAAAGCAAAATTAAACCCTTAGCCCCTAGATCCTTCATCCCTCATCCCCAAACCCTAAACCCTAAACCCTAAACCCTAAACCCTACAACCCTAAACCCTTAAACCCCTTAGACCCCTTCATCCCTAAGTCCTGAATCCATAAACCCAGAACAGCAAACCCCAAAACCTGAACCCTAAAACCGAAACCCCAAACCCTCAACCCTAAACCCTGAACTCCTGAACCCTAAACCTCAAAGTAACCCTCAGCTTACGTCAAATCCTTTCACAAGAACCTGACGAAACTCTCGAAGGAGACCTTTAAACGGAACCTGAAATTATGGTAGCTTTCCTGAAGACCCAGAGAACCCAGTACGCTTTAATTACGGAATATACCGGTATACCTGAAATCATAATTTTACGCCCTCTATATTTCTAGGCATACTCCCTAAAACCCTAAACCCAAAACCCTAAACCCAAAAAACCCTAAACCCTAAACCCTAAAAACCCTAAACCCTAAACCCTAAAAAAACTAAACCCTAAACCCTTCTCTGGCAAGCCCCGGCGCTGCCTGTGA